ACTGCTATGCCCTGTGCTACAGACTGAATTATCTCTTTATTCCCCCAAAGTTCAGTAACACACAATTACTTTGTTTCATAAAGTATGTACATCTTTGTCTTAAGAAGTTTGAAGCAATAATATAAAGCACAGTAGGAAAAAATAAGTTTAATTGTATATATCGTTCTAAGATATTTTTTAGGTGTTTCTAAACATCAGAACTATCTAACTAGATCTTGGATTCTGGTTTACCAAAATCTTACCAAACATCTTTCCCTGCCCCTTTCCTGAAAAGAAAAGGCCACCAATGATGACATTTCACATTTCTCCAATGAAAAAGCTGGTGTTCATGTTCATTTATACAAAGTAACAAAATCACCAGTCAAGCATTCTCACTCACTCAGAGTTTTCAGTTAGCACTTTAGTAGTTCTTTCTTAAATATTAACTGATACCCAAAATTATTTGAGATTACAGAAATACTTCTAAATACAGAGATATGTGAAAAAAGAAAACACATACAGTGAAATAGAATTTGGAGATTAAGAAAATGCAAGGAATCAAACATACAAAACACCCTATGAATATTATAGAAAATGCTTTATCAATGAAATTTACAGAATATACTATAAAATATTAGATAAGGAGAAAGAGCTTTTAGAAATTAAAAATATGAGCTAAATATTCTTCAACAATATAAAAGCTATGGCATAAGTACATATCAAAATGAGCAAGAATAAGAAAATAAGAAAGGAAAAATTTATGTGCCTATAATAATAACAGCCATATTTTGAATAATAAAAAGTTTTGATACAACTGCTTTAGAAGGAAGTATTGAGGAAAAGTGTGTATGTGTTGATGAATACAGATAGTGATAACAGAATTAAATCCTTATTTTCTACAGGAAAAAATATTTAGATATTGTTCAGAATAAAAACTATATAAGAAATAGAAGTATAGATATGTTGTTTAGAAATATGGAGTTATTTGCCAGAAGAAATATTTAAGAGTATTGGAAGAACTTGCTTTCTTTGGAGAAGGGTAGTCTTCTAGTTTTGTTTTAGAATGTTATTCCCCAGCTCCTCCTCCTGCTCTTTTCAGACAAATCAGAACTTTTCTGGTGTTATTGCCAGTATAGTACATCTTACACATAAATGTTACAACATCATGATTAAGAAGTAAAGGGAAATGGAATCACTGCTAAGCACAGGGACAACATTACACATAGGTGTGGAAATGAAAAGCATTTTGCAGAATCTGCATCTTAAAAATTTGTAAAATTAGATTAGTCTTTGTAAAATACCTGTTTTGTTTCCTAATGACAGAAAACTGATAAACTGCCAACTACAGTTAAAATCATTGGGCATTTCTCCTACTTGATTTGTGATGTGATGATGATGTTTATTTCCTATACAACTTTATGTATACATTATGAAGATTCTAACAGCCCCTAAAAATATCAAAGCTTCTTGCTGCTTTAACTCTTAATGGTCATTTTATACAAAAATATAAATATCTGTTATTAGGCAAACATTCTAATTTTCATAGGTGATTAAGTATAATTTCAGTTCTTGACATCTCTGTGTCTCTCACTACCTGTTTATCTACATACATAGGTATGTGTGTACCAATACACAACTGGAATCTCAATCTTAAACCAAATGAATTTTTCCATGGCCTTCCCTGACTTCCCTATTAAATTTACCTCCCCAACTCCTAACCTTATCTGCCTCCTATAATGATTTCTCTACATAATTTTTATTCATGGCAATTAATATCATCTGCTATATAATATATAAAGTTATGGTTTCAGATATATCTATATTAAGGAAAATAAATATAAATGAATTACAGTTTTAATTATTTTACTGTTACTCAATTACAGTTGTCTGTATTTTCTCCCCACCTCTCCCCACCAGCCCCTCCAAACCCACCTCCCTCCCTTGCTTCCACCCTCCCCCTTGGTTTCGTCCATGTGTCCTTTATAGTAGTTCCTGAAAACCCTTCTCCCCACTGTCCCCTCCCCCCTCCCCTCTGGCTATTGTTAGATTGTTCTTAATTTCAATGACTCTGGTTATATTTTGTTTGCTTTTTTCTTTTGTTGATTATGTTCCAGCTAAAGGTGAGATTATATGGTATTTGTCCCTCACTGCCTGGCTTATTTCACTTAGCATAATGCTCTCCAGTTCCATCCATGCTTTCCCAAAGGATATAAGCTTCTTCTTTCTCTCTGCTGTGTAGAATTTCATTGTGTAAATGTACCATAGTTTTTTGATCCACTCATTTGCTGAGGGGCACTTAGGCTGCTTCCAGTGCTTGGCTATTGTAAAATTGTGCTGCTATGAACATTGGAGCACATAGGTTCTTTTGGATTGGTGTTTCAGGGCTCTTAGGGTATAATCCCAACAGTGGAATTGCTGAGTCAAAAGGCAGTTCCATTTTTAGTTTTCTGAGGAAATTCCATACTGTTTTTCACAGTGACTGCACCAGTCTGCATTCCCACCAACCATACATTTTTAATGGCTATAGCTTTCTAGTAAAATGATGAGAAATTAGTTTTCCAACCCTTCAAGGAAGAAGTTAGCAAAATGCCAATCTCTGATACATCTGGCCTGAAATGATGGCTAACACAATTTAGAACTGACTACCTACATCTAGAGAGATATTCTGGCTCCTCTAATTACTACATAGCAAGTTCACCTGAGGGTTCTTACTAGACCACCAAACCAAATGCAAAAATCCCTCTTGACATAGCATATAAACTGGGTTTTTATAATTTTCCAATAAATCTTTTTTAGTTAAGAAAAAAACTCTTTTCTTTCAATATGAGAAGCCTACAATAGTTAGTTAAAAATCAAGCAGAATTTTCTGAGTTCAAAATTTAAATCTTCTTTGGAAAATATGCCAGACAAAATAAGATTTAGAGATTGAAAGGAAGTTCAAGAACACTTTAATCCTTAAGCGGCTTTCCCATTAATCAATTACACAGTATGTGCTCCCGGAACGTGTTTATGAGAGCATTGTTCCAAAGCCTCCTGAGTTGTTCCTCTGCTTCTATTATTCAAACTCTCCAGTCCATTCCCCACATAGGAGTGAGAGCCATTTAATAAGCATGGAAATTAACAAAAATTTTACTTTTAATTTCACTATTTTGTCAGGATACTGCCCATTTCTTGTTTCCATCATTTAAAAAATTACTTTAATAAATTGTGTATAATCACTTTCAGTGATGTAATTTCTTACATTCTCTCTTAAATTTCCTTCAAATAGACTTTGTATCCATCAGCTCAGCAAAATTGCTTCCTTGACAATGTCACCAATGACATTCGCATTGCCAGCTTCAATGGTTAATAACCCTTATTTTGTTTTCCCTCCTGTATCCCTGACGACTCTTTTCAATTTCTTTTGCTCAATCGTTTTTCTCTCCTGGGCTCCTAAATATTGCAGTATCCCCAGGCTCAATCCATCCTTGGTCCTTCTCTATTCTATCTACATTCATTCCTTTTTTATTCTACCCAGTATTACAGTTGTATATCTAAAGACTCCCAAGTTTGTGTTTTCATTGCAGACTATCTCATACAGCTAACTGTATACGCAAGTTTTCCACTGGGGTGTCTAACTGGTGGTTCAATCATAAATTGTGAAACAATGCTAAGCACCATAGCCTGCAAGGAAAATAGAGAGGCTGTGAAAAAAAATAAATGTTGATCCTTCAGACTTTAAGATGCATTTACAATACCAGAACAATATGTTATATCAAATAATTTTACAAAATGTGTTTCTCTGTCCCATTGAGTGAATGGGACTGAGTAGTGTGTCATTTCTTACTTTAATGTGGTGAGCAACAGTAGCCATAGCAAAACAGCATCATGGTGAATGGCATTGCTAGTTGGGTTTCTGAAGTCCCAAAAACAAATCTCAATAACTTGAAAGATGATGGGCAATATGAAGTATATAAAGAACATTATTTTATAGGAAACAGTCAATGTTTCTTATTTATGTAAGAAAATCTGTACGTAATGGTTTTTAATTTTTTTGTTTTTAAATTTAAGCTGAAATTTTTTAGTATGAACTGATTATTACCAGGGCAATTTTCTCTGAAGACATCAGGATTCAACAGGCGAGAAATCTGCATATCCTTTGTTCAGGTCACTGAAATTACTCTTGCCTTCTGATCACTTATCCACTAAAAGTATTTTTAGTTATTTATCAGCTTTGCTTTCCAATCTCATTTCTACTTAATTAGTGATTTTTACTCCTCTGAGAAATCTAATATTAAATGTACTTAACTAATTTCCCTTAGAAAAAGAACCCAAAAGATCTCAGTGGTGTGGTATTGAAACAATAATTTGAGATTTAAGATTTTAATATGTTCTTGCTGGATATACCAATCAATATTGGTGTACCAAAACACTGACTTTTTGTATTTTTATATTTCATAAGTGCAATTTCTCAGCAGAAGTTTAGAGGGCTAATGCTTTTATCCTTCTTTAAGTTCCTTGGTGACTTTTGCCTCTATATTTGGGTAAAATTCATGTTGTGGATTAATTGATATTTGGACAGTGAACTCCAAATCACATTTTTTTGCCAGAACTTCAAATTTACAGAGGCCATCTGAATGATTTTTAGTATACAAGCATATTTAAAGGAGGTAAACTTAACTTTTTTAAAATAACATTTGTGTAATTGATATGATAGTATTATTTCTCTTAGATTATTCTTAAATAAACACCTATGTTTATTTCCTGTATTATAACCATATAAGCATACTTCAAAAAACTTCAAAAAGTATAAAAATGTAAAACACCTTCAAATATAATCCATATATTTCTTATTCTTTAGCAAAGTATAGACTACAAAACATTTGGTTCTATTCATTTCTTTTATGAGACCAAGAATTTCCTTGATCTTTCTATCCCACTTGATTGTGACAGGTTATTTGAGGTTTTAGAAAGTGGTATGAAGTTACCATTTATTTACAGACAGCAATGAGTTCATGTAGGCAGGGCAGATAGAGGTTTACCTGTACAACCAGGAGCACAGAGGCAGTTGTACACTCCAGTTCTGTTGACACAATTTTCTCCATCTAGACAAGGTGAGATTTCACATTCATCCATATCCAATTCACAGAGAAATTCATGGTACCCAGGTTCACAATCACAAAAAAATCTAGAGAAACATAGGAAAATGAGAAATAACATGTAACAGCAAAGAGCATTTCATTATATACATAATTCTAATGTACTGTTAAACTTTACAAATTTGACTTAATTTAAATAAATGATAATATTTCCATGTCTTTGTTTTTGAAGAAAATACAATTTACTTATTTTGGTCCTCAACCTCAAGAGTCTCCCAAATGAAATTCAAAACTGGTCCATATGCAAGGAGGGCAAGAAAAGCCAAATTAAGGAGACAGACCAGTCCTGATTGGTTGGTGCAGGTTTAAGAAGCAAGGGAGTTTACATCTGGGGGAGTCATAAGATGAGCAGATCTCCATCTCCACACCTGCCCACCAGAATCTTAAAAGTTCATATAGAGGCCCTAACATGGTTCAGTCACATCTACAGCATTATAGTCTCAATAACAGCTTACTCTCTCATGGTCAGTTCTTAATCCTTAAAATGTCTCCTAGTGCAGGAACAGTGGTTAGAATGCACAGCAGAGTGGGTAAGAGGTCTCAGGTCATGTGGACCCAGACTAAAGGTCAACTGTCAGTCACATCATCTTGATAAATTCTTCCAACAACTTTTCTAGAAGGGTTTTTCCCCTTAAATATTATTTATGTGAAAATTTTAAGAAATGAATGTGTTTGGGTAAATAATTAATGGCACTTTGATAAATACTATTGAGCCTACTTCTGTAGCCATACTAATTTTATTATTATATAAATAAAAACTTTCATCTGTATTTTTGTTGAAAAGTAAAGATTATTCTGTCTATATATTAAATTATGTTTTTATGATATTAAAGCCCTCTTGTTTATTGGCAGATTTTATAGAAATTGTATGTAATTCAATAATTAAATATCAGGTTCAAAGTAGCACACACTTAATAGAAGGAGTGACCTTCAAAAACTTTGTAATTGAAAATGGTTTCCAGAAACTTCATCTAAACTCCCTTTCGTTGTGTAGCTATCCCTAATTTACCTTATTCATCAGCCTCTGAGGACTCTGAATTGTTGCATTCATATTTGTCCTCCAGGACTTTTATTTGGAAGAGCTTCTTTGCTCTTACGTGAATTTCTTTTTTATTGATTCAGACTTTGTCTCAATTGGTCTTTGAATTTTTTTTCATTTATAGTCTAAGCTGTGGTAGCAATATATATATACACACAATATATATTATATGTAATATATAGCATAACATATAATATATATGATGTTAAATTATATATATATATATAACTATATGTGGCAGAATTACCCTGAAATTATTTTTAGTCTATTTCTGGTTATTATACTGACTCTGTCTTTGTTTCAACATCTAGTCAGTCTGTATCTATTGCCAGAAGATAGAAGACCAATTCTCCTGAGATAAAATTGTGATTAGCTTTAGTTTATGTATAAGTAAAATAACATCAGTAAAAGCAACAACCAATAATCAATAAAACCAATAAATATATTAAAAAGAAGAAAAAGATAATTTAAACTTCTCTAAGTTAACTTTTTATATTCTTAAAAATATCAATGAAAATATGAAACTGATTCCCGCAGATAAAATTATTTTGAGAGAAAAGGGCACTTAGCAAAACAAAATCTCCATAATTGTGTTTTTTTCCCTCTTATAGAAGACTAAATAAAAAGAAGTTTTCTTGTTATGCATTTGAGACAGATTTTAATTCCACTTTTGCAAAAGAATTCTGCCTAATTAACTTCAGTTTCAACATAATTATAATTACAATGAAAACATAACTGATAGAAATCTAACATGCCCACGCTCCTCTTTTATTCATTCACCACATTCATTGTCTTCCAGACTTTAGTCTGGTACCCAGATCCAAATGTAAATAAGGCTTAGGCTTGTTTTTGAAAATCTCATAGAGAAGTCAGGGACATAATCTATAAATCACTAAAGTATATATATTCCATTAGGGAAAGTTGTGAAGTCCTATGAAAACACAGCTAACTGCTAGGGAAGGTGACAGGAAATGTTTTACTGGTTAATCATAAAGAAAGAGTGGAATCTTTGTATCAGTTGGGCAGAAGGCATTAAAACTGAATGAGAAAGGTCACACTATAAAAGGTAATTGTATTTCTCAGAAGCTCTACACATGGCTAGGAAATGGACGGTAATCTCACTGATGAATCTCACTGATGGTCTGAAATTCCTTCCCTTTCAAAGGTGATTTTAGTTTTGGGAAAAGCCAGAAGTCACATGGCACCAAACCTGGCTGGTAGTGGGGGCTAAGTCAACTGGATGATTTGATTTTTCCCCAAAACATTCTGCAGGAGATGTGATGCTTGAGTGGGCACATGGTTATGATAAAGCTGCCAATATTCAGTTGCCCATAACTACAGCCTTCTGAATCATCTGAATGGTTTTTGTGAGGAATGCTCAAGCTTAACACAAAATTTGACAAGAGTTGTTTCTCTACTTGCTCAGTCACTTCGAATGCCATAGCCACATAGCACACATCCTCACTGAATGGTGTTGACTGCCCACACTGACTAGCAGAGTGAAGTCATCATTGTTCATACATGAGCATCCCAGTCCATTCTCCTTGGTTGCCAAGTTACATCGATGTTGTACAAACTGATCTTATTATATTAACAATGGCTGGACTTTTTTTGGACAGACCTTGTACCTCCACTCTTTCCCATAACTCTCTTTCTCTCTCTTTCTCTCTGTCTGTCTGTCTATCTCCCCGGCTCCAACTCCCTTACTCCCTTTTTTGGATAGCTGAGGTAATCTCAGTGTTGCATATTCCCATCTTGTTCTCTCTGCACCTGGCCCTTCAAACCCTTAGAACATATTAACTGCATTAAGGAGTATCTGAAAGTATCCTCAGTCACTTTCTCTTCCTCCTGACCTCTGGCTAAAGTAAACAATCTCTTCAGCTTTGGTGTATTTTTCCTTCTCTTATTGCCTGTTGAGTGTCCCATCGCTCCTTTAGCCAACCATATCTACCTAGGCTAAGAGAAGAAATAAAAGTGAATTTTGATTTTTTACTCCAGTCTTAGGTGATCCAGTTAATTTTATCATAATCATTGTATTGTATATTATAAGTTTCTGAAATATGTCTTCCTATTGATGAAACCCTATTTAACGATTTTAAAACACAAATATGCATATTTTAAATATAAAAATACTTTACTAGGATCCCTGGCTTTTTTAAGTGGAGACCAATGTAGGTACTAAGATAACACCTATGTGTATGTGCATACATGTATCCTGTTTCAAAGGAGTAATTATCAATGTAAAATTTTAATATATTTAATAAAACACAAATTTCCAATTTAAATGCAAGGCTTTTTTTTAAAATTTCAGCAGAACTCTACCTAAATAGGTTGTCAAGGTATTAAAGATTTTGTTTAAATTTTTAAAAATTTGATAGTGACCTAAAATTTTTTAACAGGTTTTCAAAACACTTCTCCAATCAATAAAATGCATTTTAATGGGTGACTTCTGAAGAAAATTCAGTATACTAAAATAAAGTACAGATAATGAAGGGTAATTATAATTTACATAAAGTAACATTGCTTATATGAAAGGAGATGAAAAAATGTAAGAAGACAACTGGAGGGTTTACACTCTGAAATGAGCCCTTGTTTTACATAGTTCTTTACATTGTTCTTTTATCTTGTCATCTTAGCTCACATGAGAAAGGAAGTAAAAAGAAGAGAAATTGCTTTTAGGCTTTTAAAAAGCTCAGTTATTTTAACATATAACCATGATGTTGATTAAACCATATTACATCTAAGACATAGTTAGATTTTTTTAATGAGTTGTGATTTAAAAATATATTTGTAATATTAAGATTTAATTTATATTCTTTCAATAGATCACTTTATAAAAATATACAGTCAAAAGGCAAAAAATAAACTATAAACTGTGGCTGATGAAAGCTTATGATTAGAACTTCTTAGTCTGTTTTAGCAATTAAAATTTTCATAGAATTTATAGTACATTTAAAGCAATTTAAATCTTTCTCTTGTGATTCCATAACTGCACTTCTGAGCCAAAGTTCTTTATAATTAATAATTTTTTTCATCAGAACATGAACAGTCTAATATTTGCAACATAGGTAAAGTTTCTTATATCAAAATTTTATTAAAATAAATGCTTTAGATAAAATATTTTCATTTTTAATCAATTATAAAATATGACAAAATTTATCTGTATTTCCTTTTTTTACAAATACAGGCATATTTAAGTATACCATATATAATAAAGTTATAGTCTTTAAAATTGCATATGAAAAAATATAAAATTTAATATTCATCTAAGCATATTACATAACTAAGATATGCTTAGTTTATTTTATTTCAATTTATTCAATATCTTTAAGATGTTGTATTTTAAGGTGTTCTACCTTTTGTGTATCCCATGCAGAAAGAAAAAAGTAAATTCTTTTCTACCCAAAATATTTTCTCCAGAAAATTATTGTCTTTAAAATAATCTTTATATATCATTATTATAATTTTAACTGCAGGTGAATGTGGATTGAAACAAGGGAAAATCTGAAACAATGGTGTTATGGCAAAGTGTTCAGTAGAATAGAATTCAATGCAATTAATAGCTGGTTTCTAAGCAAACAATTTGTAGAAAAAATGTTCAGAATTTTATCTTTTACTTAAATGTGCATTAACTAATCATTTTTAACTTTGTAATGATAATGAAATGTTAAACTCATAAACATCAAAAACTGATTGGTTACAATATTCTTGTTGATGTTTGGTTACAATAATATCAGACAAGGATTTGAAAAATTTTTCTTCTATATTCTTTGACTAGTTCAGTCACTGTTATTATAATTGTTCTGGTGACTTTTCTATTTATGTATAAATTTTTAGTAGATTGATATTATTGTCAGTGACACAAGTAAACTGATGACTATGGTTTAAAAAGCATTAGTTCTTTGGGATAATATATGTTATTGAGTGTCATAAAATGTCAATTCCAGTGTCCAGCTTTGTAATAGCTTTGAAAAGGAATTGAGGCTGTCA